CACCCACAAGGTGTACTGCTTAGCTAGCTGCCAGGTCCCTGGAGGGCTGGGTGTCATTGCCTAAAGGAGAGGAGATGGGTAAGAGCAAAGTCAGATTCTAAGGCTACCATCAAACATAAATCAGCTCATGCCATTGCCCACTCAATACCCTCCACCCACTCCAGTGAGCAGATGCCAGAATGGCTGATAGACCCCTCAGGATTTGGTCTACAGTCCCTCCCTTTCCTCTTTCTCTTCCTCTTTCTACTACTATTCACTACTATTGCCTCAAGTGGACAGTTTGTGCACAAAAACATAGAGAGCACAATGCTGTTCCTCCTGCCTGGAAGGGCATGGCCTCATCTTGAAAACCTAGGCAAATCCTGACAGCACTAACTGCTTGATGTTGTCAGGACCCTGTACTCCCAGTAGCTGAGCAGCAAAAGTTCTTTCTAAAAGGGAACTCCAAGTGGTTTACTGCATGGCTGCCACTCTCCCCAAAGTAATTTTTTCAGGGGCTTTCTCTATCATCACCTCCAACCTGACATCCACAAGTGGTCTGGGTATCCCAATTATGCGCTGTCCCAGTATCTGCACTCCCCTGTCACCACACATTCACACTTAGCTCATCTCTATCTCTCACTGGGGTGATGGAATTTTTATTCATCATTGGATCCCAATCCTAACCAGGGCTCAGCCCATGGAAGATATTCCGCAGATGGCCATTGAATAAATGATTACCAGCTACCTCCATTCTCTCAACCTGCTATAGAATTAATGAATTATCTGGAACCTAGTGGATATATGAAAGTGGGAGTGTCATTGAGAGCTGTGAGGTCAGTTTCAGTTCTGGTTGTTATATTCTGTTTGCTGATTTTTCCTAATAATCACTGCCACTTTTACCTTGGATTTGAGCATGGGAAACCTGCCGAGGACATGCAGCTTCAAAGAGCTCAGAAGAAATTTGTCACAAGTGCACATACACACACACTCCACAATCACACGTGCATACACACACACACACATCCTATAATCACACACTCTTTGTAAACATCAAGCAGACCACATCTACAAGAAAAATTCCATGAAATTTTTATTTCAAACCAATCCTCTCCAGACTTTCCAACCCCATTCTTGTAAAGATCTGAAGAAATAATGAGAAAAGGACTTACAATTTCTCTGTAGAACAGGGCGTGTTTCTAAACTGTGGTGGGTGGTGGAAACACCCAGTGCTCTGGCCATACCTGATAGCAATTTACATCATAATATCTGGGCAGGAAGCAGAGTTCCAGTGCCCCAGATACTTCCAATGTGCAGCCAGGTTCAGAATCATTGCTCTGGAATCTTCCTTTTATTGAGTATTCTCATTTTCCCTTAATGTATTGATGTAAAATGGTTGCTTGGCCATCTCACATGCACCCTAGAGACAATGAACTTTAAGCCCTCATGATTTAGTCTATACTGTTGGGGCACAAAGAGAAGAAGAAAAATGTTTTTTTTTTTTTTTTTGTACTGTGTATTTAAGCTATTCCAATAATCCCCAAAATATCCATAATACCCATTATCACCCAAATTTCTTATTTATTTATTTATTTTTTAAGATTGATTTATTTATGCATACAAGAGCTGGGGTACAGGCCAGAGATGGGAGTGGTAAGAGGTTCCACCAGAGGATTCACCAGAGACAGGGAGCAGAACAGGCAGACTAACTGAAATACACTGCTGAGGGGAACAGTGGGCGAGACAGGAGAGGTCTGCTGTGCCATGTGGTTTGCTCTCTGGTCGGCTGGGGATCGAACTCGTGCTGCAGAGGCTGTGGATTGCTTCATAGTGCGGTTCTTAACCCCTTGTGCCACCAAGGAGGCCCCAAATTTCTTTTTTTATAAAAAAAAAATATTGCTATCATACACTGCTCATAGGACATAAAGTTACAGATGCAAAAATGTCCTTCACTTTAAAAATAAAAGCATGTACAAAAAGGAAAATATAAACTACTGACATAATTTGTTCAGGGATGGAATAATTATGGATAATTTTAATGTTAATTTTCTCCAAGTATTTTTCTGTAATTTCTAATTCTCTAGAATAAATAGCCAGAAAACCCAATAAAAATAAATTTTTAAAAGGGATATTAAAAATATATTACCCCACACTTTTTACTATAGTGTAATTTTCACAGAAAAAAGTTTAAGAAAATACTTTTAAGTAATAATTTAATGTTGCTATTGGCTTTTCCTCACAATAAAACATCTGTCATGACATGATTTAAATGGCTAGACAGTCTCAGTTAACATCAGGTCCAGTCCTACAATTCGTTCATGTCTCTTTTGGCCCCCAAGGTTAGCTCAGTCTAGGTACAGCTGCTGTAATTCTGCAATTAGAGCAAGTTGGCACATTTAAAGGACACAAGTCTTTGCAGCCCTCACCACTTTTGTAGTAAATGGAGAAAATGAGAGGGAAACTGAAGAATCATTCAGTTAAGAGAATGGGAAAGAAAGGAGGAAAGGGAAGTGGCGTGGAGCGGGGGGCCTTAGGAGGGCTTGTATTCCCACTTACAAAATCCTGGAAATGAGAGAAAGCAATGGTGAGCCCTGACACTTGCTTGCTAAGTTCCTCCTCTGCCAGGCTTGATCCTAAGTGCTTTGTTTAAAAGATTTCATTCATTCTTTATAACCCCCTCGAGGAAGGTGGTATTTTCTACGCTTCACAGATGTGGCCACTGAGACTCAGAGAACTAACTTACCAAGTGTAACACTGTGATTTATAGTAAGAAATACATATTTGGTTTTTGGCCCTGTCCCTGACATAGAGCTGCTAACACCCCTATAAATTCCTAAGTAATAAGAGCACCAGGAGCATCTTTTGTTCTACCAAGACAACTCTGGCTGGGTTCCTGTTTTAGGACTGATCACTAGAAAAAACTGGCCATGATTTGAAGCTTAGAATTTCCAGCTCCACCCACCACCCTTCTAGAAAGATGGTGTAAGGTCAGGACTGGACACAGAGCAGGTTTTCTTTGATCCCATGCAGACCGGGTAAAGGAGCAGTCAGAATCCTTTGTGGCTTTTTGCAGGTAGGTCTTTTTATTGGGATTTACCCGGTACACAGCAGGTAAGGGTGCTGGGGGGCCGGGAGGCTGGCAGTCCTCCCAGCCCCCAGCAAATCCACACTCTCTCTGGGCTCTCTGGCATTCTCTGCTTCTGCTTCTCTTGCTTCTCTCTCGGCTTCTCTTTTGGCTTCTGCTGCTCTTCTCGGCTTCTAATGGTGTCCCCTGACGCCGCCCTTAAAAAAGCACAGTCTCAGCCCAGGTGAATCCCATCTACCTATGCCCACACCTACTCCAGGTGCCTGCCATCAGGCATGCATTCAGGACCGCAGGGTCCATCATCTTTCCTGATGGCGGGAGAGCAGAAAAGCCTGACATTTTTCCTTACCCTACAGGTCGGAAGAGCTGGAGTTAGTAATTGATTATCCCTACATGGAAACCTTTATAAAGTTCCAATAGTATGGGGTTCAGAGAACTTCCAGATGGGTGGACACATCCATAAATGTGAAGGAAGACACCTCCAAATGCATGGGGACAGAAAATCCTGCACTTGGAGCCCTGTCAGGTTTGCCCTTGGTATTTCTTCCTCTGATTATTCCTCTGTATCCTTTATCACATCCTTTAATAAAATGGTAAGCATATGTAAATGTTTCTCTGAGTTCTGTGGACTGTTCCAGCAAACAATAGAATCCAAGGGGGAGGAGGTGAGAGGAACCTTCAACTTGTAGTTGAACAGAAGTTGTGGATGACCTGGGGACCCACTCTATGTGATTGGCATCTGCAGTGGGAGATAGTCTCCCGAGACTGATCAGCTGACCTATGGGATTTAAGATATTCCCAAATAGAGAGTGTGCGAACTGAGTTAAGTTGTAGGACACCCAGCTGGTGTCAGAGAATTATTTGGTGTGGGGGACAAACTCACACACTGGTGACCAGAAGTGTCAAAACTGAAGCATTTTGTGTACAAGTAGAGGAGAAACACATTGCAGGTTTTTCTAATACAGTAAGATTATCCATTCTAGTAAATGATAGAATTGGATGGAATTCAAACTACCTTCATAGCTCACTCTGAAAATATGTGTATATGTGTGTCTGCTGTGTGAGCTGGGTAAAGGCCATGTCTCTGCCATTGACGGAGATGGAACACAGTTGGTGTCCAGTGCTAGCAGCACCTTCCCCTCTATGCGGAAAGAAGAGTTTAGAAAAGCAAGAGAAAGTATGGAAGATGACACCTGTAGGAGCTGGTTCAGGATCCACCTCTGGGGTGTGCTGACCAAGTGTGTCAACACCCACCTCGTGGATCCCAGGGTACCCAACATCGCCTTTCCCAGGATCTAGGAGTGGTTTCTGCAGGGCAGATAGTAGAGTAAGTACCTTAGGATCAGGAGAACTAAGAGAAAAGTCTTTAGCTTTTGGAGAGATGTAGTCCCCAGTGGGTTTGGGAAGAAAATTTCAGACTCAGGGAACATTGTCTGAAATTTTCAGACAAAAAAAGATCTGAGCTAGCAGGAATTAGACTAAAACTACCATATTCTGACCCAGGCTTCCTTGAGCTAACTCCTGATACTCCTTATGTTGTAAAGTCAGTTCTCTAAATCAGCTACCTGAGTGTGATGCTGCTAGTGGTCACCTTGTTTGTAGGAAGGGAGATGGAAGATACTTCAGAACCACAGTTCCTCACATCTTGCCCCTCACCCTTATATTATTCCATTTTATAATAGAGGAAACAAAGTTTCAGGGAGATTATGTGGATTGTTGCAGGCCAAAGGGCCCTTCAGCAGCAGTGAGGATTTAAATGAAAGCCTGTCAAAGTACAAATTTTTGTACTTTGTTGGTCATATTTCTACTGGAGAGGCCTTTGCAACAGGATCTATTCATTCCCAAATTTTCTTTATTAAAGGTAGCTTCCACAAAAATCTAAATAAATCATAAAGACAATATTCTGCTTTTTGCAATCTTTATTTTGCCCCTCAGAGATTTCCATGGAGCCAAAGAGACATGAATGGAAGCCTCTGGTTGTCAGTTTCCATTACATTCAGGAGCAAGGATGTCCAAGAAGGTCTGAGCAGTAGGTTGTTTTTTTCACCAGACATATATATTAAGCAACTAGCTTCTTGCTGAGATGGGACAAGTTTTTCCAAAGCCTCTTTGAAATCACTCTGAAACTATGAATCCAGAAGAATAAATTAGATATGACTGTCCAATGTGGGACATTTACCATTTATTTTGAACTTTTTGCTCTTTTTCAAAATTATTTTTGAATATATAAAAAGAATGTTTATTGTAAAATATTAAAACTATACAAATATATGAACATTTATTTTCACTCACACTTTAAGAGGAATCTATTAGTGATATTGAGTGTGTATTGCAAGATTCTTTGCCATTTTTACAGCCACCCCTCCCCCCACGGGCGCATACGTGTGCACACCAAGTTATTTGACTTCATTTTTCACAAAAATGAGCATATCCTCCATATTGCATTCTGTGACTTACAACTTAATACATGCCATGTGGGTTTTTATGTCTATCATTCATACATGGGAAAAACACTATTTTCCAGATTTCCCGGAGGATTAATTGTATGTTAAAAAGTACCCAAGGTTTAGAGATGGTCACGGATGTGTTACCTTACACAGAGATATTGTACAGAGTAGGTGGTGAGTTCCAAAGAGAGTAAGTACAGGGAAGCAATTTCTCATTTTCCCACTCTGAATGGGACACTTCGTGATCTGCATATTATAGAAACATGAAAGTGAGGTCAGGCTTGGCAGGGAAATTGCTGGCTACAAGCTTTTAGGACAATTAAGAAACAGCAGGATCATTCTGGCACAAGCTTCAACCAGTTGGCAGAAAAATGCCTCTTCTGCTCCTACGGTGACTGGCAATTCTGAGTAAGTGGCTAAAATTGCCTTTTATGTCTGTCGGCAACTTCTTTCTTGAAGTTTTTAAGTCTCGTTGAATTCTCTTTGATAATGGGGTATCTTCTCTATTAGGGCAAATCTGACATCTATAAGGGTTATTTCAATTCTTCCAGGACAAAAATTCTCTTGTTTCCAGAGTTAGAACCCTTGAAAACTTGCTTACTTCTAGAAATGAATTTTTTTCTCGTTTCTTTTTTAAGGTTTTGTTCTTTAGTATTTTTTCTTGAAGGCATTTGTTACCATATACAAAGACCATATTTCATATGATTAGTGACATGCTAATAAGCATTTTGAAATATTAAAAATAGCTCACAGCCCCCTTTATTATCTTTGGTGAAATTCAAGGACTTGGAACCCTAGGTAGGACATTATTAACTGAAAATGTCCCTACTCACTTAAATTATAAGCTGTCAATAAATATTATTTTTTCTTCCAACTTTAATTTACAGGTCTCTCTGAAGCAGTTGCTCCTCCCATCCCCAATACCTAGCCAGGACAGCGTCCGTAATTGCTTGTTAGCTTATTGCTGAAAACCCCAAGTTGAGAGCCTGTACTGTGTAAATGGTTGAGTGTGGCCTTGGAACTCCAATGGCTGGTCCACAGCCAAGTTCTACCACATATTCACTTAGCACCTCCATAAAGTGGAGAAGCTGGTGGAACCTACTTTCTGAAGTTGTTTGAAAATTAATGAATCGATGTAATAAAAGCACCTAGAATGCTACCTGGACCATAAAGTGTTAGTTATTACTGTTTCCTTTATATTTAAGGCCACTTCTCTAACTTTCATTATTGGAATGAGGTCAGAAGCTATTTAGGCCACCGAGAAAGGAAAACCTTCTCATCTTGTCCCCTGTGTCATTAAGAGAAACAAAGAGGAAGAAGATGATATAAATCCAGCCACTTTCCCAGTATGAGGTCAAGAAAGAGTGGGGCTTGGCGCCAGGCCACCTGGCTTGACTCCACACTCGCTGAGACCCTGATGCCCTCATCTATGTAGGGGCTAAAACACCCCCTTGCCATTGGGCTGCTGGGAAGACGAAGACAGAACAAAGTAGTTTTACATAGTGAGTGCTCCATGAAGATGGCTACTATGTGGACTCAAATGCCATAGATTCACCTCCATTGAGCACCTACTGTGTGTTACTAAGTGTGGGGAGTTCATGTGATGATGACCTTTCAAGGAAAACTCATTCTCCTCATTTAACAAAGGAGACAAAGGCTTTGAAAGGTTAAATCATGTAGAGCAGCTCTCTATGTTAGGTGATGGAGCAAAAACATGAACCCCAGCCTTCAGGTCACAGGTTCATGCTCTTGCTTCTAGAAAACCCCAGGTATGTCCAATCACCGCCTGATTAGCCTGAGATCTACAGTACCACTCGGTAAACAGGGTGGAGGGCGGGTTAGTTTCTGCTTTCCTTACTATCAGAAACCTTTTCAATTATTATTTTTTTTTTTGATGATCAACACAAATGCAAACTATACCATACTTTTAACAGTAAAATGATAGTTTTTTTATGATCATGCTCAGGTTCTTTACCCTCAGAGCTGCATGGATTTTCCAAAATGTCTAAATGACTCTCTGAAACTTTTCAGTCAGGAGAGCTTTTCCTTTTCCATTGATTCTGAAACAGTGAGTTGACTCCCTTCTGGAAGCCTTTTTAAGTCATTACAAATAGCATTTATCTTTATGGTTTTCAAGTGACCTTTTAGTGCAGGCATTTTTTTCTTCTCCCTGGGATGGGTTCTGACATCATTCTCAAGGAACACAAAGGCCTCCCCTAGATTGATTTATCCCGCTGTGGCTTTGGAAAGGGTCTCTCCTCTGACCATGTTTTAATTCAAATGTTGGGGAGGAAATATTTAGCAGTCCTCTCTCTTCCTAATTTTTCTTAAGGTTTTTTTGTTTGTTTGTTTGTTTTTTCAGTCTGCTATTCTAATATCTGCCTGGAGAACTTTATTGCCCCCAGCCAGAAGTATGGCTTTGTGTCTTTTAGTCAATTATTTCTTATCTTTGGCTACTTCTGCTCTTTTTTAATTCAAATTAACCAGCATCTGTTCCCAGGAATTGATGCCAAGGTGCCACCCAGCTTAGAGAAACTAATCTTTGATCTTTTTCTTTTGCCTCTTCTTGGTACAACACATTAGTTATCATCCTAAAGGCCCCCACATTCTCATGATTCCCTTTGCAAATTTACTTGGGATTTAAAAGAAAAGACTTTAAAAGAAGAGCTATGAAGCTTATTCATATTAAATTCTGGATTATAGTTGCCAAAAGCTGTGTGGTTCTCTCTGAGTTTACTCTCTCCTGCCTGGACGTGGTGTGGTATAACAGAGCAGAGGGATTCTCAGTCTTGGCTCTTCCCATGCTGTGTCCTTGGTAAGTTACCCAGGTAGTTTTTTCACTGGCACAATGGTGGGGGCCACCTTCATAGGTCAAAACCCATGTCAGGAGAGAGGCACAGGGTGCCACCTTCCTCACCAAAATAGTCTCTGCTGTTTGCAGTTCTTTTATTGAGTTTTTTTTTTTTAATTTTTATTTTATTTTTTATTTTATTTTATTTTTTTTTTATAGAGGCATGCTTTATTTATTTGTTTGCTGGTTTGTTTGTTTGTTTTGTTTATACATGCACTGGGTACAGTTAGAAGCGCGGGAGGGTGAGAGAATTCACCAGAGCCAGAGCGGGGAGCAGAGCAGGCAGAAGGACCAAAGTACACTGCTGAGGGGAGCAGCGGGCGGCAGGAGAGGTCTGCACGCCATGTGGGACCCTCCTCCGGTGGCCGGGGAGCAGCCGGGGATCGAACCGGCGCCACAGAGGCCGCGGGCAGCTTCTCAACCCAGCGCTCAACCGCTGCGCCACCGGGGAGGCCCTTTTTTAATTTTTAAATGTAGTTTTTTCTCCCTTACATCTTTAGGTTTTTGGTGTGACTATATCCCCTCTTAAAAAAGAGCTAACAATGATTTTGCAGTTATCATATTGAGGTGAAATTCTGGTCTAATTTTAGAAGAATACCTAGATATTATGATTCTCCTGAACTCTAAATTACTGTTATAGGCATTTTAAAAAACATGAGTTGATAAACTCATCTAAGATGGAATTAAAAGAAGCTGGGCCTCCCCTGGTGGCGCAGCGGTTGAGCGCTGGGCTGCGAGGCTGCCCGCAGCCTCTGCAGCACCAGTTCGTTCCCTGGCCAGCGGCAAGGGTCCCACAAAAAAAAAAAAGGAAGCAATTTTTAAAAAGTGTTGAAAGTCACTCATTCAGGGCCTCTCTGGTGGCGCAAGGCATTAAGCACCGCACTGTGATGCAATCCACAGCCTATGCAGCACGAGTACAATCTCTGGCCGGCCAGGGAGAAACCCACATGGTGAGGCAGACCTCTCCTGTCTCGCCTGCTGCTCCCCTCAGCAGTGTATTTCAGTCAATCTGCCTGTTCTGCTCCCCACTCTGTCTCTGGTGGATCCTTTCACCCCCCGCATCTCTGGCCTGTACCCCAGCTCTTGTATGCATAAATAAATAAATCTAAAAAAAAAAGTCACTCATTCAATCAAGTCTTTCCTTAATGACTGCTCTGTGTCAGGCACTGTGTTAGACCCAGGTAATATAATAATACCAGGAAAACATCTACCTGAAACTTACAGTCCATGTGATACCTTCTGCCGACACAATGGCAGTTTAACTGTGAGTTGTAGTTTTTTAAATTCAGGTGTAGAGTTTGTAACTTGCCAGGAAGTCATGTTAAAAGGGTGATTCCTAGGGAAATTCCACGTGAAAACTTTCTGTGATTTCCAAGAAGAGTTTATCTCCTGGACACTTTGCTAAGGAGTTGGACCTTTTTACCCAGAGCCATGAACCTGAATAAGTTAACCCCTGCTATGGAAGCAAGTGAGGGCCAGTCTAAAAGAAGGATGTGCAAATTACTGCTTCTGGGCCAAGTTTAGCCCACTGCCTGTATCTGCATGGCTGTGAGAACAGTTTTTACAATTTTAAAGGCTTAAAAAAAATCAAAAGAGAACAAAATTTTGTGGCACATGAAAACTGTATGAAATTCTGATTCAGTGTCCATAAATAAAATTTTATTGGCACTGAATCATGTCCATTCATTTATGTATTGTCTATGGTGGTTTTGTCTATAATGGCAGAGAGTTGCAACAGAGACTGCATAGCTTGCAAAGCCTGAAATATTAATTTTCCGGTCCTTTAAAGAAAATATTTTTTGACCTCTGGCCTAGAAGACTTTTTAGT